CACTTGTACCAACTAAACATTTTAAACCCGATCTACAGAGGAAATAAAAAGCAAAAAAAAAACAAACTATAAAAGGAATATATTTTATATGTACCATTTGCAGGGGGCAATCCTGAGTAGAAGAGCAGCTTTCTACAGGTTTATAAACTTTAGTGAAACAGACCTGAACTGAAGGAGAGTTTGGAGCAGAGATATGTCAAGAGACTCCATCCTGGGAGAGATGGGAGCTTCTGATTGAGATCTTACCAGGCTGCCAACAAGCATGAAGGCAGTTCTGGGCTTTCCTATTGGAAAGTCCAGCATGCTTTACACAGTGTGTCCCAGAAGAACCCAATATTACATTATTGGAAAACAAAGTTAATACAAAATTACTACATAAAAAGAAAAACAGTTTATACATTTAAAAAAAAAAAAAAAAAAAAAAAGACCAAACCCATTATAGTTATCCTTTGAAATAGATTTGTATGTTTAATGGAAGGGTTGTAGACAGGACCATTAGGCAGTAATGCAAGAAGGTGAATATTTTACCCATAACCACTGTTCAAAATGGTGACAATTCCACAGGTTTTTAATTCGGTGCTTTGAATGTCTCGAGAGAATTCCAAAAAGAAAAAGGATACTCGTTAATAGTTATGCTTCATGAACATTTTTATTTGTTTGGCAGTCTATAAAGGAAACCTGTTAGAAGATCTGCACTAGCATCTCCCATATTTTTCTTATCTTTCAGAAAAGGGTAGTTGGCTGGCTCTTATTTTTCTACTGGATCAGTAATGCAAAGTATTAAAACCGGAGGCAGCCACCCACCTACCATTTTCAAAAGGAGGTGAGCAATGACAGCTCCATTTTTTTTTTTTTTTAAATACAAGTCTTCTTTAAAAAAAAGCATATGAGGTGTTCTTCAATAAGGCAAAAATATGATGCATCTCAGAAGTAACTAAAAATGGCCTGCTGTTTCACAACTACAAATGGAATTGCCTGCAAAAGCAGTTGGTCATGTATCGGATGTAGGGGGGATGCTGGAAATGGAGGTGAGGAGAATGGGAGACATGTATGGGGCTAGATCAGGGAAAAGGACACTGGAAGAATGTATTAAAAGGTAAGTGGTAGATGCTGGGAGGCATAGGGGGGGAGGGTGTAATGACAGGGGACGGACATGTTCTGGTGGCAGAGGGGATTGGATGCAGGCAGTAAGTGGAACAGTGATTGCAAATTATGAGGATTAAGGAAAAGAGTTGCAAAGACAACAGATCGAGTCTTACCAGAGAGGCAGTGGAGGGAACGGAGTTACATAGTATTTGAGGTTGAATAAAGACATTAGTCCATCAAGTCCAACCTATTAGGATCTCATTCTAGGAGTACCCGTACCCCTGTATATTACGGTCCCTTAAGAAATCGTCCAAAAGTTTCTTGAACAATTCCACATTATTTGCTGAAATCACCGCCTGTGGCAGTGAGTTCCAGACCCTAACTGATCTTACTGTGAAGAACCCCCTTCGCACCTTGTGCTGGAATTTTTTTTCCACCAATTTTAGGTTATGGCCTCTAGTTTTTGTAACGGAGTTAATTTTAAACAGTTTATCGCTAATGTTGCTACCACCAATTATATATACAATGGAATGGCCTTTGTGTATTGGAAAAGAACAGCTCATACATATGGACCTCACTTCGAGGTGTTTTTGAGCTTTGCTGAAGCTCACAAAATGCTGTGGTCAGAATTTATTACCACGATATTTGTGTATACGCCAACACTTACTAGAGTAGCAGCATCACTTTATATCCAATGAAAATGGGCAGGGCCCTCAGGACTGATAATGCAGTCATTGAGTGAGTGTGACAGAGACGACACCCACAATGTGTTTCTTCTGTATTAAATGTGATAATCCCAGACCTTCACTTTGGCTGGCCCATGTGTTCATCTGCCCCCAGAGAAGTGTTAAAAAAAACCACTTGTTTATGCTTTATAGGCTTTACCTAATATTTAGTTTGAAGCCTGTATGTATAAGGTCTAAGAGAAGAGTGACTTGTAGAGCATGGGAGTACTGCAGTTAGAAGTGGCTAAGTGTGAAGTTGTGGGTTGAACCATAGGAGAACAGTGCTTGTAAGCTTTTGGAAGTAAGAAAGGGTGTTTAGGGGAGCAGTGCATTGTCTGGGAAAGAGAACACTAGGGGGTGGATCTAAAAAGTGCCACTCGCACAGCCCTGGTACCCCTAAATGGAAATTTCTAAGCTCCTCAGCATGATCTAGTGCTGTGGGAATGGTATAAGCTGGGAAGCACATCTATAAAATCAGCCTTTAGGAGTGTGGCAGAGCAACTTTTTAGGTGGGGAGTCCATTCAGGTATGAAGGCTGGAATACTGGGCTGGAAGTTCAGGTATAGAGGAACGTAGCAGTGTGTGGTGAACCATGTGTACAGCAAAATCTGGAAGTAAACATTCAATGAGAAAGGGAGTAATGCCAAGAGAGAGTTGCAGGACTGAGCAATGAGTGTGCTGAAGTGTAGTTAATAGGGAAGACAGTAAGTCCAAGGGAGAGCAGTGTGCAGCAGTGAGTGTTCTGCAAGAGCAGATACTTAGGAAGGAGGAGCAGTCTCTATGGTGGTGGAACATGCATGCTAGAGCTAAATTAAGCACTGGAGAAAGAGTCCCCTAGTAAAACAAAACTGGAAGATACGATCTGGCTGAAATTCAGAAGATCTTTCAGGGAAGCCTGAATACCTGACATCAAAGTGAATCTTCCTATAATGCAGACACGTATGAAAGGAAGCCAATTATGGATTGAAGCTGGCTAACCTATTAGTATGTTTTTTGAACCCAGGGTACCTGGAGAAACCAAAGGATTACTCATCAAATGTGCTGTAGTGTAGAATGAGGAACAAAGACAGGCCCTCCATATGAAAGTTATTCTATTTTAATGGATCCATTCTCTCTTAGTAATGATGGACACCTTTCGATCTTCAGCAGATAGCAAGTCAATGTTTCATAATGAATTAAAAACTACCATTAGTAAAAAACATTAAAAAAAACAAAATGCTATAAAAAGATATTTTTCTTGGTGGTAACAGAAATAAAATCAAAGTAATATTTAATTGTTCTACAGAAGCCTTCACCTTACAGCATTACACAGGGAACATGGGAAAGATTTTACAAACATTACAGTAAAAAGGACCTCTTCTTAAAACAAAACATTTATGAGTGAAATCCTCAACTACAGATTGGTGTAACCCATATTTACATGTAATCCCACAAATATTTCCAAATAAAAAAAATAATTTGAGGCAAATAAGAAAATTAGCAATAGCACAAAATGTGTCTTTTGAGTGTAACTGCCCTACAGAATAGGAGGTATAAAGTGCCTCTTGCCTGCTGCTAATTTTCAAACCACATTATATAAGTGTGACTAAGGACCATATAATACTACTCCCAAAAGAAAATGCAATTTCCAAAACAGACAGGTGTTGTCACCGCACAGGTAATGAGCCACACAGTATACTGCACTGCAGACAGTACGGCGTATGTCCCCTAAAGCAGAATATATGTATCCGTCATAGAGAATCTGGAACAGAAAGTAAAATACAGAACGATTCTTTGAGTCTTCATGTGCTATGCCAGTTCTTGATGGGCTGAGTCATATTCTGCAATGTACAATTTAAGTTCTTCAATACATCTCTCTCCTATCTCGCTTAAATTCTGTCGTAACGCAAACTGGACCTGTTTTTCAAGGGACGGGTCCTTGTCGATAAGCATCTTCACAACCATGCCAAAAGTCTCACAATCCTGTCTGTACACCTGTGTGAACAAAAATGATTGCACAGTTATATGGGGGCATTGTGCCTGCTTCAATGGAACAGTATTAAAACCAACAAATGGAAAACTGATGCACAATTTAAAAGACGAATACAAATAACCCAAAATAATTATTATCTTATATTAAAGGACTATTGTTTACAATGCATAAGCTACATAATAACTGCAAGTGATTAGAATATAAAGCATTGACAATACAGTTATTAGGAAGACAACACTTTACACAAAGCTAACTTCCTGTCAAGTGATGCTACCAAGGCACACTACTATCTAATACAGATAATGTAACAAATATTTCTGATTCAGCAACAGCAAAAAAACAAACAAACACTTTTAGGAGCATCGAGTCCCTTAAAATCATAGGTCAGTGACTTCAAATACTGAAGGTTGTCAATGTGCATAACAGTCACTCAACTTGTTCCTTGGAGTACAGTACAAGACACGGGCAATTCAGAGATGACTGGGTAATGTGCATGTATCACAGAGAGAGGGGAGAGCTGTGCTCTTCCCCTCTCACCTGTCACACAAGTTCCAGCACAGTACTGTGCTGGAGCTCCTGTTTTGGAGGTGACAGGGTCAATAAAGAGAACCTGTCACCTCCAACTGCTATCACACAGGGGATTGTTTTCTCCTGTGTGGTAGCAATAACGTTAAGTGAAATTTTTTTAATAAAAAAATTAATAAAAATTAAATAATTTAAAAAAATAAAAGTGATTAAAAAGTAAAAGACAAAATTATTAAAAAATAAGAAAATAATTATGAAAAAAAAAATCAACAATAAAGATAGAAAATTATAAAAATAAATAAAACAAGCTAAAAATGTAAAAAATAAATAAAAATAAAAAAAAGTGATAAAAAATAAAGAAACCATAAAAAAAATTAGAACTAACCCTGCCGCCCCTGCCATCAGGTTCCATTCTCCGTTGATTGGGGGGGCTGGTTGGCTGGGAGGGGGCGCATTGCGGAGCCTGGCCTTGGGGTGGCAGGGAGAGCAAATCCGGCCCTGGCTATAATGCCATGAAATGTGTGCTGTAGGTCATACAATTAGCAGAGCTCATTCTGAATAAAAGCTGAAAAATATGCAGAGGAAAGAAGGCCTGTGGCCTGAATGAAAACAATCTAAAAGATTCTTCCCTCCACATTAAACATTATTGCTGGAGGAATCTCCCACTGCAGAGATTGTATTCTGACATTAGCGGGTGTGCCACAGTCAGAATAACTCAACAGTGACTGCAGCTGATTGGCTGTTCAGCTGAGCCTTTTCCACCCAGCCCCTTTGATTTTCTGATTGAAGGATGTTGGGTCGGAGTCTGCCAACAGGGCCACCCACCCAGTTCCTCAAGAACCCGGCAAAACTCACTCAGTATATGGCCAGCTTTAGGCTGGCCATCCTAGAATGATGTGTATTCTGCCAGAAGGATTTTGCTCCCAATCTGGCTTTTCTTCATAGAATAGGGAACGATCAGTACCAGTTTGTATAGTTTTCCAAGATGTAAGAAAATCTCTGGGCTGTGGTGTTTCCAACTACATTAGGTACACATCTCTTCTCCCGGACATTGCCTGACTGCTCCAAGAAATACTTATACAGTATGAGTTGCTTTGCTTGCCATTTAGCTCCACCTGAAGGCCTATTCCCAGCTCGGAGCTTTTTCATTTAGAGAAGTGTGTTTTCGCTGCATTTTACATGATGTACGTTAATCCCTATTGAAGATACACTTGCTAGAAAGTGACAACAAATAATGCAAGCTGGGTTTTGAAAAGACATATCACATTAAAATGTATTAATAGAAAAGCTGCCCAAACATCGATTATTCTCACACTGATCTTTTTGTTTGATCGGATCAGATCATTATGGAAACTACAATCAAAATTACTATTGTTTTACTGCAATTTCATTTAATAAATGTGATTTGTTTTGTTTTTTTACATACCCCATAAAAACGTTAATATGCCACACATAAAACCACATTGAACATTTAGGAAAAATTCCAGTGTCCCTTTTTTTTTTTTTTTTTTTAACCAAAGAGGAAAAAAATCAAAAGGGATAGAAAAACTGCCCATATGCACTTCCTTTGGCTTAGCCCAGGAGGTTGTAGTTGGTATATGTGAGAAGTGTACAACACCTTTGATCAAGTGCAATTTAAGCAGATGTCTCTGAAATGTTTAATGTTTTTAACTTTGAAATAAATAAAAATATAAGGATTTACAATTGTGTGTCTTGGTGCCTTAAAAACCATCACCATTTCTGTCTGTTGGGGGTATCTATACTGGGGAGTGGCACCGTAGAGCTGAGGAGCCTCTGATGTAGTAATAGTATGTAAACCAGCCACACGATATCCTGTAAGAGCTGTTATCATTCTCAATGAGCTAAACACATTTGCCAGAACCAGTAGGTGGCCGATCCTCGCTGTATTCATACCACGTTAGCAAACGAGGGCACACCAAGCCACAAAACCACAAAAATGTTGCCAAATACACACTAGCCATGGTGTATTCTTGGTGAAGGATTCAACTGAAAGGGTTCCCTTAAAGCGAATCCATCAACAAACTAAAAACTATGCTCAAAATGGATTCAGACATTTTCCTAAATCAGACTATATAATAGTTCTGGGGACATGCAGCATAATGTACATACAATCCCTGTGAAGGATTTTGCTGCCCTGAACCAGTATGGAGCCTATGAGACGGAGAATGGCTGCTTCCACTGGAAGCTCCTGAGGCCCCGTTAACATCATGAAAATCTAACACTACTTCCGCAAACACTACTTCCGCAAACCTACACAATTCCAATGTTTTGTGCAACAGTCTTTATATTAACAGTCCAATTTGTCAGCTTTATTCAAGAATGCTTACAATTCTGTTTGACCAACACAACAATCTTTTGCCATTCACAAGAAGTAAACAAACCTATCAACACTACGTGATTCTGCCTCGAGTGACTGTAAGAACTTATCAGAAAAGCGAGACCTTCCCATCTATTGACTGGTATGGCCAGTCAATGGATGGGAATGTCAGGTTTTAAGAATGGGTCTCTTTTAGCGCAGTCTCCCAGTGCTGAACAGTCAGAACTGTAAAGGTCCTTCAGTGTGACAGCTGTGCACACCAATCTTAGTAAAACATTTGAAGAGCATTACGGGACAAAAAGGAACCTGCAAAATGTCACACAGCTGGGACAAAGACTACATTGCTCACAGCTACAAAATACAGCTGTAGGCACAGGAAATGAACCACTCACAAAGTATCACTTTTTTATTAGTCCTTGGTCCTTTTATCCTTATCAAGCCATCTATAGCCACTCCAGAAGGTTGCTGTAGGCATCTTGTCTGGAGCAGGTGAAAGCACCTGATAATTAACATTTCAACACTCTATTACATTTCTATGGCACCAACACTAGATGTAGGGCACTTGTTACCTTCATTACCAACAAAAGACCAAGTGACACGTCTGTGCATAAAGGAAATTGTCTTCAGCACACTCAATTTAATCTTCATGTCACCGAGCAGCAATGGAAGGGTTCCAAATTACGTGAAGGCTATGACGGCATGCTTGTTCTGCCCCATTTCTCTGCAATTAAAGGTTCTATATTTGCAAAGGAATATGAGTCATGTTATTTTCATGGTTGCTTGAGTCAGGTTACACTCATTTTTCATTTCAGGATAATCTGTTCTTTACTAGCAAATAACAGATTGCTGCCTTCGCCCACAAGCATCTTTCATATTTTAAAACAGAAACTTTTTCTTCTCTAAAAAGGAGCCCACAAAGATCAACATCAACGCCAAAGGAATGTTTAATAATTATTAACAGATGGCGCTGAGACAAATACACTGAACATAAATAAATGGTTTAGATGATGTAAACATGTCTCCCTCTTCTCATATAGAAAGCTGTAATATATATCTATACCAGTAATTCTTAATGTAGTGATCCTTGCAAGCTCTATATACAAAAGAAGGGTCGGGAAATAATATAATTCTAAGCTTTACACAAATATGCTTAGCATGCAAATGTTCTATCATCACTGTTTGCCTGTGTGGTATATAGTTATACAAACACATGGTGGTAGCTTTATCACTTGTTACGTGTACATGATAAGCTTTCAACAGCGTAATGCTCCATGGTGACTGTGCTTTACTACTGCTCTGGTGTCAGCGTAAACCTATTGGGAAGGTTAGTACATCATTATTCATTGAATCTAGGTGACTGATCCTCAATCTGTTTTTCCATTAGCAGCTGCTTAGCAAGGTAGTTAGTTGTACTGGCCAACTTACAAATACTAACAGAAGGAGAATCTACACATTTGTAGGCGGAATACTGGAATAATACACAGCAAACAAATGTGATTGCTACAGCAAAGTGACTATAATGTAAAACAAAGTTACTGTTGCAGATGAGGTGAGAGAATTGCAGAAGCATGGAATTGGTCTGGGTGAGATATTTGTTAGTACAGCCAAAAACTGCACATACACTATGAATTACACATTATTAGTGTTCTCTCTGACTCCACCACAGTTCTTGTAGCACATGCTGACACTGGATGATGCCTGAATAAAGATGGTGTCAGCTTCCTGGGAAGCAGGACAAAGAGGAGTACTGCGATCTCTGAGACACACAAATACCAGTACAACATGAAAACATATATCTGATGCTAAATACACTATGTTAGAGCTTCTAAGCCATCTGGTCCTTTATGGAATCTACTACATGGGAAATGTGCATAACCTGATCATAAATGCCACAACTGCATGCAAAGACTGCAAGTCTCATCTCTGCAAGTGTCCTATCTCTGCACTGAATAGTATTGGGTGACAGAATTAAACAGTAACCACGTCTCCCCTTAGTTCTGTTATAATATAGTATGTAGCCGTGTTTGCCCACCTCCACAAAATATGGATAATATATGTGTACGGACTACATGCTAAATGCATAGAGCATGTCTTGCATGTGTCATTGGTCGGATCCTGCATATTCACTTGTGTATTCAG